CTTCTGGGAATAGACACAGCCAAGGGAGTTCTGGAGGGTCCTGCCGGGTCGGGCACATTCCACAGAAATGGCCTTTCTCATGACATGCAAGGCTGTCAGCCGGGGACTCCCTGAGGGACTTCTCCAGGGAAGAAAAGACTTGTTTCATCTCTGATGTCCTGTTTCCTCTTGGAAGGGCCAACTCAGGCTCCCAACCCAGTGAAAGGCCACTTTGGCCAGGCTGAGACTCACTTCCTTTCCCTGAAGAAATCCAGTGCCTTCCTCACTGCCAAGCGTCAGAGCCTCTGCAAGGAACAGAAGGCATCTGGAACATCAGATAGCACAAACTGATCATGTCCAAGAAGCTCCTCTGGAGTAAAAGAGGAGTTATCCCAGGCTGGGTCAGGAGAGGTCATGGTCAGTCAACAAAGCTCAGATTTTTGGGAGGGCGACTGAGCTGTGGGTTACATGCTGGTGAGTCTATGTGATATGGTTGGGGAAAAGGCCAAGCTGGGAGAGAGAAAATGGGCCTTCTTCTAGTCACAAAGCAGTTGTGATTGATGATGCTAAGGATGATAACAGTGATGATGATAATGATGATAGTGCTGGTGGTGATGATGACAGCTATCACTGATTGAACACTTACTATGCACCAAGTACTATGCTAACCACTTTATGGATGTGCTGCCATCAAATCCTCTAGCTCATGATCTGTCCCATTCCACAGGTGAGGAGAATGAGGCTAAGTTAACAATCCAAAGGCCCATGGCTAGGAAAGGGATGGAACCAAGATTCAACCTGGATTCATTTAAATTGAGGTATCACTTTCTCATCTGCAAAAAGACACGGGCTAAACTTCAGATAATCTCCCTCTGAGGTCCTTTGTAGCCTTACAGTCTGGATTGGTTTCTGTCCTCCTCACCAAGATGAAAGAAAAGTTTGAGATTAGGTGGAAAAGTAAGGCTGTGTTCCAAGCGAAAGTTTCACTCAGATGAAGGGGAAATTCTGTGGCTCCTCCCACTCTGAGCAGTATGTTACCCAGGCCTGGGAAACATCTGAACAGTGACAGAAGCCGTTGGAGAATTCCAGGAGAGCCAGGTCATGCAACAAAAGGAGTGTAACGCAGATGACTGCAATTCTATATTTGCCTTTTTTCCCTTAACTGGAGGCCACTAGATTTTTCCAGACAATATTTGGAAGGCTAAAATCTGATTCCCTGAAATAACAGACAAAAAAAGATTTTGAGGTTTTACAGATTCATTCATCTGGTAAAAAGAAAGCGGAAGCAGTGAAATAATGTTTATTTATCTGCTTTATGGACTTCTTCAAGGTTCAAAGTCACCGTTCTTAAATGTTCGAGAGTAAAAACAGTATTTACATTGGATGGCTTTATTCTTTTTATATTCTCTTAGGACAAGCTGCATGGACCCGATCAGCCCTCTTAAATGTGAGCCTGATTCTGTGGCTCAGTTTTTCTTATAGCAACATGGAAATTAAAGATGGCCTCTCACTGTTTCGGTGGAAAGATGAATTAATTGAACTTTGAAAACTACCAGGAAGAAAGTTTTGAGCTAAAAACGTTTGCATTTTTGCCAGGGACTCCACAGCCTTCTGTGCTTGCAGGACCCGCGTCAAATGTGTGCACATCTCCACCCACACCTTCCTGCCTGGGCTGAGAGGTGACAAATGGGAAGAATGCCTCATGAAAGCTCCCCTGGAGATGGCCGAACCCTCTGTCACCTGTGGCTCTTTGATGTAAGGAGCCCTGGCTTCCTGTTTGTGTCACTGTGCTGGGAAGGAGATGCCCACAGGTTCAGTGCCTTAGGTGGCAGGCCTCTCAGGTCGCCTTCTTCAGATGCATTGCCCTTTGTGGTTCTTCGATCCTCCATCTTGGGGCAGGGGGTTGTAATGGACTTAACGTTTGTGCCTCCCTCATTCATATGTTGAAATCCTAACCCCCAAGGTGATAGTATTAAAGGTGGGACTTTGGGAAGTGATCAGGTGATGAGAGTGGAGCCCTCATGAATGGGATTAATGCCTTTATAAAAGAGACCCCAGGAGGCTCCCTTATCCACTTCTGCCATGGGTCCAAGGAGAAGTGGGCAGTCTGCAACCCAGAGAGGGCCCTTACCAGAGCCCAACCATTCTGCCACCCTGATCTCAGGCTTTCAGCCTCCAGAACTGTGAGAAACAAATTCCTGTAGTTGATAAAGCACCCAGTCTGTGGCATTTTGTTACAGCAGCTGGAACTGATTAAGACAGGGGTGTAGCCAAAAGGGCTTCTGGCAATTCTTGGGGTAGGTGGAGGGACTTTTTGTGACTTCCTGTAACTTCGTCTGTCAAATGACAGTTCACATTAAGGAACATCCTACTGATGCCAGGTGGAGATGGCTGGGCCTCACACATTATTGCTCAAAGAAGAGATCAAAAACTAAGTGGGCTCTGTTTAGCTCCTACCAGACCTGTGCTCAAAGGCCTTATCACGTGAGCCTGAGGAGAGAAGGCCTCAGTTTCTAACCTTAAACTCCCCTCCTAAAAAGTGATCTGTGTTTGTTTGCCTCAGCATCCCCATTGGAAAGATGGACTCCATCAAACAGCCAGCAGTGCATGTATGGATTACTAGTAAATTACTAGCAGTGACTGGATTACTAGGGTGTTACTAGCAGTGCATGTGTTACTAGGGGTGCCCGAGTGGTCCACAAGTGGGCCCACCGAGGGGGCTGTAGATGAATGAGTGGAAGGGTTGAATAGGAACTTTTCAGTCATGCACACATACTTTGAAAAAACTGTATCTAGGAGTACATATACCCAAGCCTCCTAAGTCATACACAGGAGACATAGACATATCAGGCCTGTTTGACATTTAAAAAAAAACACCTGGAAATGAGGCACCTGTCCATTGGTAGGAAAACACATAGACAAAATGTGACATATTTTACACACTATCATGTTACTATATAGCAACGAAGATGAACAAACCACAACTACTTTAAACAGCATGAACAGACGGAGAAACACCACGTTGAGTAGAACAACAGTTGTTCAAAAAGACCCCATGCAGTATGGCACCCTTCGTATAAAGCTCAAATAAGCAAAGCTGGTGTAGGCACACATATATGTGGGATAAAGCTGTTTTTTAAAAAAGCAGGAGAATGACAAACACAAAAATTCAAACAGGAGCTTCCTCTGGGGAGTCAAGCAGAAGGATGAGGTCAGGGAGGAACGTGGGGTCGGGGGAAGAAACACTCTTGGTGATGTTCTAGTTCTTGCACTGGGGAGTGGTTTGTGGGTGTGAATATCATGACTGAGATAGAGGTTACATATATTTTTTTGTAAGGATGAGATATTATGTTATGATAATAAGATTAAAAATTTAAAATATATCTGTAGTCATGATGACTTACCTGGGGTGAGAGAATTCAAATTTCAGAGTTCAAAAGGAAATTATCTAATCTAGACCCTGAATTTTATAGATGCCAAGATGACTTCCAAACTGCAAAGGGACTTGGGCACATTTGTATGACTGGATAGTGACTGAGTGGAGATCAGAGCTCTTGTGTCATAACTTTTGGTACACAATTGCTCATTCCACTCACTCAACACCCCCAAGTTCTTTTTTCTTCTTCCTTTTCTTTTTCTTTTTTGCACTGGTAAGTAAAAGCAACACTTAACAGGCCCTCACAATGAATGGATTAAAAACCTCCGATGCAGAAAGGGGATCATACTCCCGAGCAAGCAAAGTCAAGTTTCTCTCTAGCTGTGTTACCCTTGGAAGGAGTGGCTGGTTTTGATCAAATTGTATCTATATGAAAGCATTAAGTACTTTACCTTAACTCTGATTCGTGGCTCTTTGCTACCTTAAAATATTAATAAAATGGCAGCTTGTAAATTTACTGATGAGCATATTTTCTTGTAATTAAGATTTTAATAATATTTTGAATGAGGATGGGATGTAGACTTGGCTCCGTGGGAAGGAAAAAAAAATGTCTTTTCAAATGACGTGTCCATTTTCAACGAGTTAAATAAATTGCTGACACTGGGGGAAAGAACTGTGATGTATCACAGCTATGTATTTTACTTACTTAAAATCAAATATTTGTCTCCTTTCCCCTCAAAAAAGAATGAAAGAGAACAATGCACTCAATCTAGGCCATCTACCAGTAATGCCTTGGAGTGTAAAAAGAGAATCTGACATTCTCTCGCAGGGTCTCCATTCCTGTACCTATACCTTTCTCTACGTAAGACTCTTAATGTGCTGAGTGTGATCCTACTGGTAAAGACTATGCATTTTATTTCTACATCACTTAATGCTTTGCACTTACTTCCACAGTCATGATTTTTCCAACACTGCAGGAAAAACTTGCTGTGTTGGACTTATTGAGAAACTATGTATTTGTATACTATCCTTTATGAATGATTTAAGGGATTTTCATGGCCTAGTAGTCATTACAGCTATTCACCAACTGTTTCCAGTTTTCTTCCTGTGGACCTGGTAAGGTTGCACTTCCTTGCCCCCTTGAAGTTAGGTGGAGCTATGTGACTTGCTTTGGCCATTGAAGTATGAACAGAAGTGGGGTGATGTAACATTCAGGATGAAGCTTTAAGAGTCAGTGTAAGATTTGCCCTGTTCTTCTTTTCCTGCATTGGCAACTGCAGAAACATGGAGATGGAGCCTCCCTCTGAACTCCCTGAGTGAGGACAGCATGGAGCATAGTCCCCCAGCCAACTGGTGATGGACATGTCACATGAGTAAGAAATCAATTTCAGTTGTTTTAAGCCCCTGAGATTTGGGGGCTAGTCCATACTGCCTGATTCATTGATTATATACCATTTTTGTCCAACTCACTAACTTTAGATCATAAGATGCAACTCTACTATATATCTAGGCTTCCTAGAACATATTCATTTGGATACTGTAGACTTCGATCCAGAAATTTCTCCAAAAGGCACATTGGAGACCCTCACTATGTAACCAAGGATGAGTCTAAAATGGGAATTGAAGAAGAGGCAACAACCAGGAGAAATTGGAATCCACATTTATTGATGGAAGATATATACATAAAAGTTAAAACACTTAGTGAAATATTGGATTCACAGGTTATTTCCAGTATATAAAGAATATCCAGTTATTTTACACATGAAATGTTACAGTAATCAGTCCACATTGTAAGAAAGCTAAAGGAGAAAACAAAAGACCTCAACTACCCAAAATGTGCTTTGCCAACAAGGCGTTTTCTAGTACCATATATAAGAAACAATCAAAAAATTTAGTCGAAGCTTTTATCTTTCTGTATTCATTAGTCTTTAAACACTATGTGCTATAGATGCTCTGTGCTACATGACTTCAGACCAAGGGGGATTGTGAACAGTAGGAAAACAATTATTCTTTCATTCTGGACATACAAGAATCTTCAAAGAGAATCCTGCATGCAGGCTGGTTTTCTTTCAGTAAATTTTCCATCCTGAATTTGACAGGCGTTGAAGAAGCCACATTTTCAAGGAAAAATCTGCTGGTCCACTGTATCCCCTCACTCCACTCATATGAAGAAGCCACTGGAAATTAATGTGCTTCATGCCCTCAGGTAATGTGTTAGGCTTCACTCCTCTTAGGAAAAGAGATGGGCACTCAGTGTTCCCTAAAGCACATGGCTATTTCTTCTCTGTCCTTGGGGAGGAGAAAGGGGTTACAGGAACTATAGACCTCACAGTATTGTATTTAGTGATAACTACACAGAATATGTGTTTTAGGAGGCAGGTGTATATTTGCGTTAGTTAATCTCATCTTCTTTCATTCAAAACATGCACACAGAGCATATTAGGTAGAGGAGGTTATGCTCCCTCATATATGTGGGATCTGTGCTTCATCAGTTGCCCCTCTACAACCCCCAAAGCTGCACACTGGCTATTCCTGTGCTTCTAGTGTTCTACCTTCCTACAGACAACTGTGTAGTTTACAGCCCAAACTGTGCTTTTGTGGGATTTCACCTGCATGGCAGTCAGTCAGCAAATGTTTTTCCCATACCCTGACTCAAGAAGCCAAGGGGGACAAGGCTCTTCAAATCCTGTAAGTCATGAGCATCATGATGATTATTTGGCAACCAGAGAGGCTGACCCTTCCCTAAGAACACGATGCTAACATGCACAAGGGCAGACTAACCTTTCGTCTCTTTGAGCCCAATCCACCAAGTGAAGGAGGACTGTAGATAAATGTCCTCATTCTAAACCTACCTAAGCCTAGATAATCAAAAGTTCCACAGTTGCATTTACCGCGTATTATACAGACGTGGGGTGACCTTTCACTAAGAACCAGGACACACACCCAGCCCATCCCTGCTCTGAATTGTATATTTACAAAGGTGCTGGACACACACAGACTTTCAAACAATCATCAGTACAAAGGATTCATAGATAAGTTCTTCACTCATATATGCACCCCCCAAACCACATTTACAAAGAGGAAAAATGATTCACAGCTAGATATCTAAGAAGGGAAAAGAAGGGTTTGCAAAACACCAATCAATATGTCTACTGCATTTAGATGAATAGCCAAAAATAACATATAAATTAAATTTCAATACATCTATACACCATTTCACTGAAATTACACCTAGATATCTACATTATAGCTACACAAAGTGCATAGGCACTGTTCTTCATGCGTGAACCAAGTGTCAGTGTGTACACACAAGAGCTTCATGCTTTGACAGCTAGCTGTACTTGAAAACAGATACAATCATTGCCAGCTGAGGGCACATCTAATTTGTTTGCTTAATGAAGAGCAGGTTCAAATACATACCAGTACATTTTCTATGTAACTGACTACTTTTTAAAACATGGTAAAAATACTAGCCCTACCACCATATCAGAAAGTGTGTTTGGCGGAAGGAAGACACCTTGTCTTTGCAGTGGTTATTCTTTTAGCTTTGGGGGAAGTTACATAGTTTGTTATTCACCTGAGGACAGAATCTACCTGGGCTGCTTCTAAATAATTTCAATGTGATTCTAAGCCCCCACTTCCAGCCCCCAGTGACACAGTATTGCTTCACAGCTGGTACTGAAAAGAACTTTTTTTAAAACTTTCTTAAAAAAATATGTGCTCAATTCATGTAACAATGTGACATTTACTACCAATTTGCTTGGCAAGAATTAACTGCAACAAATCTGTCCTGATTTCCTCGGTAGCACTCATCCTCAGTCTCTGCTACTCAAAGTTTTCCTGAGCCAATTTTCACATAAACATTTAAAAAGGCATGAAACATTCTAATATAGAAATGATCCCACTATTATTACCTTGTCTTTGATAATCTTAGAGAAAAGCAGAATTAGAATGCTCAGCTGGAAAAACAAGGGCTGGTACCAAAAATAAGAAATCAGCACCATTCCTTGAGTTAAAAAGATTAATCATTTAGATATATATCCTAACCAGCTAAGGAATTTAAACAATTCCTTGTTCTTAATGGTCATTTTGTTCATTGTGTCACTAAGGACTGGGTTCTTAAATTTTTCAAATGTGATTATATAGTCAGGAAACAACTGATAGCTCTAAATTGCTGTAGAAACTTCTTGTGCTCTAATTAGTTATAATTCTACATGTGTGGTTATATAGAAAATACTGTAAGAAAATATCTGTCTGTAAAATTACAGATACTAAATGGATTAATTCAGTCTACACTGAGTTCTTTATGATTTCTGAAGAATAGATACAAACCTATAACATTATTAAAGGCTAAATTAATATTAAACATATAATATCTAGGATTATAAATACATTTTCTCATGCTCTTTATAAATAATAGCAAAGAACGTTGGGGATTTATTTAAAAAAGAATGTAAGATTGGGCTGGAGGAATTTGTGGATTTGGGGTGCAATACTGATCAGAGGGCAATATATTATCCCTGGTAACAGAGATTCTTACCAGGAAGCCAAAATATATCTGCTGGCAACAAGATCAAATTAGATTCACAGTTTGCCAGCTCTCTCCTCAAGCTGTAGAAAACAAATAGAAAAACAATATAGAAAAATCCTCAAAAAAGTAGTTTTTTATATACAAATCTCTATAGTGACCAGATAATCTGATCTGTGTTGTGCAACATGGAGATGCAATGCTGAGGTTTTCCAGGAGAAGGAAGGGAGTTAAGGTGATTTGTAGAAGAATCTAGATGTCAAAGGATGTTTCTAGTAAGGAAAGTAATTCTCATGGAGTATTAAACCACCAGAGAGCCAAATTTCTGATCATATATCTCAGAGAATTTGGTCCATGGGGGAGAAACCTCAGAGATGTGCTGGACCAACTTCCTTGGCTAGTGTGTGCATCTGTCCCCTACCAAAGGCAATAGGCTGTTTCCAGGCAGGCAAAATGGTTGCCATGAGAACAAACAGAGCCCCAAGAGGAGTGAGGCTCTGACTGCATCATCCCCATCTCCACAGGGGATGACAACAAGGGTAACAGTTGGTTGTCAGGTTCCGACACTCCCCAGGGATTGGGGGTGTCTCCAGAGGAACTGAGGACCTGTTGCTACTCATTCTCTAGATCAAGTGCTGACTCTGCAAAGCAGCAAGCTCTCTTCCAGCAGTAGATTTTATTCTCAGCACAAAAGGGCCCTGCATAACGACCAGAAGGACTCTGTAAAACATCAAAATGGACACTTGGCCTGGAGGTTGGAAGGTGAAGCAAGGCTGGACATGGAAAAAAAGTAATCTATAATTATTCAGGATATCACTTAGAATGAATGAAACAGGAGCTCACTTTTCTACAGGTTCTTATATGGGTCAATTAAAAAATCATGTTTATCTTGTGGCCCTTGCATCAGGTCTTTTGCGCCAATGGAAAAAACCAACAAACATACAAAACCCAATCCTTTTAATTCCAGTTTACATCTCGCTCCCTGAAACCTAAAGAGCTGAAGTCTTCTCTGGCAATAAAGGTGCTCATAACACAATAAATACCAATTCTACTCTGTATTTAGCAAAGTTTGGACAAAGAGCAAAAATGCAAGCAATGGCCCATTACGGCAGTGCCAGAAAGGGCAAGTGATGACTGGTGAAATGCACCTTGTGGACCACGCATTGTATCCCATCCACCCTGGAAACTCCTCAGGCATTGAAGAGGGTGATGATTGTCATGAAACTCCATTCTTGTAAGCTTTACTACTGCAATGGGATGCCCATGATAAAAACAGATCAAGAGGAAAATTTGAAAATAAATTCAATCAAATATTCCTGCATATCCCTTCAGAGAAAGAACTCAGTCCAGCTTACTTGTGAATGGACGTGCATGTCTGCATACAGGCAGAGGGAAGGTATTTACAGACAGTTGCTGTGATTGTGTAAGTCTTGCACCAAATTTCATAAGAGTATTCAAGTTTCTTTGCCAAAGGCTCCCAAATTCCCATACTGAGTTGGCAATTAGGACTGTTTGGAGAAAATAGTGTGTTTTGAGTATTCAGAGTGGGCTCTGTTGCTACAGCAGGGATGATACAAGAGCTTGAGTGAGGCTACAGATTCATCGGGTCCCCTCATGGTAACTCTGGCAGCATTTTTCCCTGAGCTGAATTGCTACTTCTGCTAGGACAGTGAGTTTAGGTAAAGGGAACTTTTATAAAAGGCTGTTTGTTGGTGTCCCAAAATACCAAACTGTGGAAGTATGTGGCCACCTTCCAAGCTTGTTGTAAAACATCAAATGAATAGAGGCTTGAATTTAATTTCCCCCAAAGGAGATGAGAAAAATCTAAATTGATTATTCATTATTGAGGACTCCTCCAACTTAAAATACAAGTAAGTAACATTTTATAGTAGTGAGCCTCTTAATAAAGAAGAAAGTAAAACAGAGATCATAATACTTTGTTGTTTCTTATCATTTCTGTCATTGCCTGAATTAGCTGTGTTATGCTGTGAGATTGGATACTATTCAATTAAGACTCCCTGTTATCTATTCTAAAACCAACTCTTGCACTAGCTTGTGTGATGGCTTACTAAGTTGTCTCTTAGTAAAGCAGCAACAATATGTAGAATAAGAGGAAGGGAGGAGGAAGAGTAGAAAATTGGGTTTTCCTTTAGAGAAAATCAAAAGCAAATATTCGATGAGCAGCTTTGAACTCACTCCGCCCAAAGAGAATAGTCTGCCTCTAGTGCCACCTGCCTGGCTTGGCACTCAGTGACTCTTCTTCTAGGTGTAGCCCAAAATTATGACAGACACTGAGACCATTAGTCTTCTCTGACAACTATATTTACAAAACTCTCACTTCAGAATTCTTTCAGACTCTTTGCTTTAACTTAATCCTCTTATGCTCCCAGACTCTAGTATTCTCATTCAAAGAGCAAGTATAATAAAAACTGGAAATCCCATTTGATCCTTTTTCTTGGCTTGGTAGGAGTTCAGTTGGAGAGCAAACGAAGCAAACCAGCAGCTCAGACAGACAACTGGACGGCCCCCGGAGTCGGACAGCAGCTCGGTGGGAAAAACCACCTCCGCTAGGGTGTAACTGCTGTGCACTTTTAGTCATCACACTAGGCAAGAGCTGCTGAGACTTGTTTGTCAGGAGTCAGAACTATGGAGAATCATCTCTGTGCAAGTACATACCTACATGGATTTATTGCTGTATTCCATGGGAAAATATTGCACAGGTGGCAGAAGCCTTGATTCTGACAAAGGTGAAAAATTATAACATGGTTTTTGCTATTGAGAGCAAAGGAAAGTGTGGTGTTTGCAAAACCATGGCAGGATTGGTGCTTTTTTTTGGTGGGGGGGAACCCATTAAATGAATTTCCCAACCACTTCACTCCAAAAGGGCTTCTTGACTAGATACATTTGCAAATGACACATTTCTCCAAGCACAAGTGGAACTGACCTGAGACCGTCTCATCAACTGGCCATTCGGATTCCTGGCATCACCTACCAGGAATCTCCCCATGAACTGAATTTTCCCTAAGCCCTTCTCAGATTCCACGAGTCTAAATCCAGGAGCTAGGCATTTTGGCACCCTTTCTTTAAGCTTTCATGAATATCCAGGCTGACTAGTGGTTCGAGAGGAGAAATAAATATTTGTCTTTTATGGGGCAGGGTAACTTCCACAGGCAACAAGACCATAGGCTTCATTTCTACATCCAATAGGAAGTAAAAATTTGAATATGATAGCTACATGGTTCAGATCCCATCACCTAATGTCCTATGTTGAGGATTTGTGTGATCTAAATGGTTGCCTTGACTCTCTGATGCTCTTTGTATGGGAGGTACATCCTCAAAGTTCTAAGGTAAAGTATTACTTTGAGAGATAAACTACTCTTCTCACTGATGGGATTTGAATCATTGAATTTCAGTAAGTAATTAAATGATGATTCCACTTGGGTTTCCCAAAGGGCAAGAATGAGAAAGAGGAGGATTGAAGTCTACTTAGTTGGCTTTCTCCTGAAATAATTTTGATTCCTAAAAAAAGTGAACAAGCCAGTGACAAAATGGTGTTGCCAAAGCCCTGACATACAGACCTTACAGGATGCAATGTATGTATCTGGCTTGCTGTCTCTGTATATAAATATAATATTTATGCATCACCGAATATTAATGGACTATTATGAGCATTCATATCTGTGTTGGACCTATTAGGATAAATCTACACATATTATTGACAAGTTATACTTATCCTATTTAGATAATGGTTATTAGAGGTATACTTTGTATCCATTTGTTCTTTTTATGGCACATATGCTGGGCAGGAAAATCCCCAGTGGGTATGGCATGGGAAGAATAAACAAGGCCTAAAAAAACCAGAGGACGAAGACATGTGTCAATCCTACATAGATCCTGAATTTTCAGGCTAGTCCTGAGTTTGAGAAATTATTTATTTTCAATATGATGTATTGAATCTCCAGATAAATGCGATTTCCTATGTCTATTTTCACAAGGCTTACTGTATACAGTCTCAAACCAGAAAAACCTGCTTTGTTAAGCTGTATATCTTGTTTCCTCTAAACACATTGTCTGCTTACATATTTGTAGGCTAACAGGATAGCTAGGAAAAAGCTAAAGATAAAACATACCAGAAAGATTTTTAGGCAGAGTTTTGACAAAACAATCCTGTGACTACTCCTTTGAGAAACATGTCAGTGTACACAAATGCCAAGGTGGCCTTCCACAGCAAAAAAAAAAAAAAAACAAAAAACAAAAAAAAAACTTTGCCTCTATCCTTCTATTTACCATAAGAAAGCTCTTGGGAGCATCACTTAAAGATATTCCTAATCAGTTTCACAGCGAAATCCAGGAATTGTCCTCTTGGCCCACAACGCCTACTGTGAAGGATATATTTTCTACTACTACATTTGCGCATGTCCTGGGCCACCCTGTTAACTGCCCATCATATGAAAATAAAGAACAATGTCATTTCAAAAACAAAAACAAAAGCTGTTTAATACTGTTCAATAGTGATCCTTATCCAAAAATCACTTAGGAGACAAAAACAACTGTAATCTCCTGTCTCTTGTATGTCCGAAAGGTGTCTGATTTGGAAGAGAGAAGTCACAAGGAGTAGGCAATAAAGGGTATTTGAAGCCCATAAACACCCTCGCCTCAGAGATTTTGGGTTCTATAACCATGACTACCTCAGCATCCTTCTGCTGATCTCAGATGACACACCCTACTCCTACCTGTGGACTTAGGTCTACGTACTCCTTAGAGTCAAAGGTGCTTTAATTCTCAATGATTCAAGCCCCCAGCTCAGTCCCAAATCCAGCAACCTGAAGAAAATACTGTGCATTATTCAATAAAGAAGTGATAGTAGAGATATTAAAAAATTTAACTTGTATAACCAACCATTAAAGATTCTTTGGCTGCCTATCGCATGCAAGGCATTGTGCTACGCCAATTATATTATTTATTCCTTTAAACATTCACAGCCATAAACAAGATTCCACTTGTGAAGTTGTGTAGAGCCATCCTTTGTTCCCACACCTTGGTTCAAGGCTACCTAGACTCTGCCATAGGAATGTCACCTTTATAGGATTTTGCACAGATGTTTGTTTCCTGTTCCTTTCCACTGAGAAGACTGAGGAGGAAGACTGGCTCTGCTTCCACCTGCTGTGTCCTAGAACTGGTTTTACGTGCTTTGATATAACATAACAAAAAGCTTTCTACATATTAGATAAGGATCAGTTTTTCTTGTTTTATCAAGAGATGATATTAAAAGAGGCACAGCCAACACAAGTGTCCTCCATGTGCAAGGGTGGTAAAATGGTCAGACCTTCTAGGTTGATGAGAATATGATTGAAATAGTTTGCAGATTAAAAATGTCTTCTTTGTTAGAAATCCAGAAGAGAAGCTTATGGGTGACACAAGAAAGCAAAAACATAGACCAAATAATTTCACCATGCCAGGTGAATGCAAACCCAACATAAATGAATTTGAATATTTAAATCTAGTTAAACTTTATGTTGGCTGTGCTCTCTTGTCAATATATACAGTGGTTATATGTAAAATACATCCTATTCCATTATCAAATTTAGAGACAATTATGAAACATACTTTGAAATTTCAATGATTATTCACACAGACTAGTTAGGGTAGGGCAGAGACACAATGGGCTCCGTAATCAGCTGCCTTTAAGAGTACGGCTCCCACTAAAACTCTCTTTGAAACATTTAACCTAAAGAGTACACAGAAGATAAATTGTTAGAGTTCCCTAAGACAGGAATTTGCTTTTAATCAATGCATGTGCAAACTCTGTAAGACATTTAAGGGGAGTTACTTCTAGAGGCTTCTAACAGAATCTCTTGTGCATAACAAGGCGAGACATGGAGAACACTTTAAGGAAGAACACACTGTGTGTTTGCTCATGATCCCAGGTCTCTGGAGTGTACCACACTGCTTTAGTCGTGTCCCCTGGGAAAAGAGCATCCACATTTCTGTATCTCGAGAGAAAAGGGAAGCTGGCAGGAACGTGTCTCCAACTCAAACGGATCCCTCCAGCAGCATCCGTTCAAACAATAATACAAGTGAGAACATTAGATGATTATGAAGTGTTATTTGGCAAAGACACAGCACCGTGCCTGTCATCACTGACTCACAAGAGCTCCTCTAAGCCTCGGCTAACAGATTAGGTAAACATAGAAATATATGTATTTTTTTTCCTTTTTAAAGAAAGCTTGTTTATATCATCTTTTACCATAAGATACGCTGGGGAGCTTATTCAAGAATTTGCTGAGATTCATATTCTTATTTTTCACGTTTCCAAGGTTCTTCCTCAACACTGCAGTCGGCTGACTTTCCATTGGCTGCCAGAGTTACCTGAAAATAATTACCATCAACATCCAGCTTACAGGCCACGAACCAGAAAAAAGCCCCGTGGGTTATGTGGAGAAGCACCAGATCCAAGGTTATACTGCGTGGCTGGGATACTAGCTTTAAACGGAGTTCCTTCCAAATTGATTTTGGACTTGTCTTGATTTTCAACATTGATTTGTGAATTTCAAAAAAAAAAAATCCATATTTGCTTTAGGGGTATTGAGAGACTACAGATGCTTTGCAATTTGGGGAGTAATGTCTGTGTTTTTAGGATTGTGAGGTGTCTAACTACCCATAGACCCATCACACATTAACATAGTCCTTAAAATACAGTGCCCATGTGCTACTCCATACAACCACAGAGACAAAAACCCAGAACAAGGCAGCTAGTTCTACTCATGCATGTGAAAGGTTCAGTTGCAATGAGGCCAAGTGGATTTCATACATGTCTAATTTTAAAATCAGTAATCATGAGGGGTTGGCTCTACCAAATAAGTTGCCCCAGATTTAAAAATTAAAAAGAAAGGGAGGAGCGATTAAAAGTCTGAAATCAGTGACAATGTATATCTAAATTATTTCAGTGTAGATATTTAACAATTAAATATAATTACCAGACCACTTATATTATGCTTCCCTGGCTCAAAGTGAACTGAACCCTTATGCAGAACGGGAGGTTCTCTCCTCCACTTCTAAGTAGTTTTCCTAGCTTACCTTCTGTCTGTCTGTCCTCAAGGTCATGTGCAAACTTAAACCCACGACTGATATTCCACATAATGGAGAGACTGGATTTATGGAAGCATTAGAACATGGAGACATGACAAACGCAGCAATGTTTGAAAGAAATCTGACCTTCTTACCCGAGTGGAGGTGAACTGCATGCAGCATGAGCACACACAACATGCTAAGAACAGAGAGCCAAGTGCCCTTCACGAACCAAGCAAATGAAAACAAAAAATATTCATTCCTCCAATCCCTGTTAGCGCCACAATTTTGCTTTTTTAGAAAGACCATGCAATTACCATCAACTGCTCCACATGCAGTTATTGTGATTAAAATTAAAAAGCTATTGCATAGCTTCGAACTACTATTACCGGGCAAGAGTTTGAAACTAGAGAGACCAGCATAACATAACAACGCTTGAAGTGGTTAAAGTTTTGACCAGAGCTGCAGCAAATTTGTTTCCCTTTCAGTGAACTGTCGAGAAAGACTGCCAGGGACAGACTGTCTGCCTGGAGAAAGCTGCCTGTTCACTATGACCTAAAAAGTGCCTATTTCGTCCTCGGTAATGAGCCCGATCAATAGCAGTGCAAAATTATCAGTCACAGTGTGGTGCCTTTGGAAGAGCCAGACAGCACTTGGGGGGAGGTGTTTTTTGTTTGTAAATACTGGGGCCTATGTTTCAAAAGTAGTTGGGACAGCAGCTTTTTTTTGTGTTTTTGCATTTCCTTTCCTGGCTGGGCTAAAGAAAGCTGGGACTCCACTTCCAAGCCCATTCCACTCCTTTCTGCTCCAACCACCTGGGTAATAGGAAAGAAAGAAGGAAGTGGCATTGGCAATAAGCATTGACATCTCCCATCTCAGTTCTTAAAAAGGGAGCAATAGTGAGACTGAGAATTGACTAGAAGGAAGTCGAAAGGAATGAATGAATACATCTGACCCAGATATTCTCAGAAAGACTGTAGATTCTTATCCATAGCTCTGCCTGCCTCCTTCCCATGTCAGTGTCAACACAGTTAACTGATTTAGAGTGAGAAGAGTCAACTTGCTTCACCTAGCCAAGGCTGAGGACCAAATAACCTTCACTTAGCTGAACCCAATCACTTCATTAAAAATGCAAACAGTTGAAATAGTTACTAAACCAAAAAGGGCCATTTTAATCATCTTCATGAGCTGCTCAATTTGACCACTGACCATCTAAATGCTAGTTAACCAATGAGTCCACAGGTGGTTGGTTGGGTAGTCAATTTTATAGAGAGACTGAACCTCTATCTCTTTGGAACTGTCCAGAAAAAGCTTATCAGAAATATAGCAAGGAATAAAGATGCTACGAGATACATGCAACAAATATTTATTGAGCACCTACAATATGCTGGACAGTTTTAGGTGCTGGGACACAGTAGGATAAATGGTGACAAAGTCTCACTCCTTGTGGGCTTACTTCCTGGGGATAGGGATAATTCACAAACATCTCCCTTTAGAGTTTGAAATATTCTACTTTTAAAAATGAAGCAAATTTCTGCTGATATACTTGGTGTCCTTCAAGAAAAAAGAAATCCAGGAAGTCTGAAATCTAAAGATATCTCCATGCCCACACACCTTCTTTTTCAAAACATGTCCTACACAGTATTAAGAAGCCTCTTGAGAAGCTCTGAAAGGGCCATCCAGCAATTAACCACTAGGATTCTTCTTACATACAATTGTGACATTTTTAAAAAATGGTGATTTCATTTCGTTTTGTACTGTTTTTCCTTGTATGGCAATAATTTGAGTTCAGGTCTTATCTCCACTACAACATTGTACATTGTTTTTGCTGTCCTCTAGTGCCTACTTCAGGGCTTCGTAGATAACAGGTACTCAATAAATACTTGATGAAATGATCAAAATACAGGATGTGACAGGAATGACATGGGGCACTCAGCTAAACCTTAGAAGGCACACAATAAGCACTTGTCAAATATAACAGAGCATAAAGCCGTTTATAAGAATGTTGACCCTTGTTGATCCAAACTAACATTCTGAAGAGGAATAATCCAGCTCGTTCACTCAGATGTGGGAAACACTAACTTTCCAGGAGAATGGATTATGCCCTTAAGTACATCTGAATTCCTAATAATTTGAATCATTTTCACTGAGTCAATTAATTTGTGCAATGGCCTCTTGATGGGTGGGTTCCCCCACTAATTTGTATCAGAGCCCTGATTTACCCACACATGTACCTGATGTACAGGGGCCAAGCAAAAGACTGCGCTGGTCCACTAGAATTCTGGACCTATGTCATAGTCTGTTAAAGAGAATTGTGTCTGTGTCGCCCTTAGTTGCCTGGCAAAAACCATGGTATGTATTTGGAATGGCCCAGAAGTGACACAGGAAGAAACTAGCAGTTAAATGTGACCTAGTCAGCAGAAGTCAAAATGGTACCAGATATCTGTGTTGGGTTCATATTGTCCTCAGTGGCTGCGTGTTATCATTTTATCAAACCAACCCCTAGAGTTGACTCTGCTCACCTGCCAGGGTTTCTCCAAGTTTGCTTCACTCTGGTCATGACACTCTGATTTTGACAATGCCAAGTTAGTTACAATGAAAGCTAGACAGAGCCCATCAAGCTTGAAGACTTAGCACCCAACAGCTTGGAGGAGGGCCCAGAACATCCGTGCTGCAGGAAAGACGGCACTGCCAGGCAGTGTGTGGATGTAGTGTTTTTTAAAAAACATCCTTGGATAATTATTTTGACGGATAGCTATCCTTTAATTGAAATTGCTTCCCCATTTTTGAAGCAAAGTGACTGCCACGTCAAAACTCACCCTTCTCAACAATAATAATTAAGACAAAGATAATTGTGTGAAGTTCTGTGGGCACATTTTTGACCAACACGTGATATACAGCAAGGAGGAACACTTGTGCTATTCCAATCAAAGGACGCTAGGGATTTCCCTTGGTGTTTCATTTGAGGAATAAAATATTTGAAAGCCTGCAAAGCTCTAGCACCCACAAATTCTTGGGCAAAATATTCAAGAAAACTGATCGAATTAGTCAAGTGGGGAGGATGGGGGCAGAAGAATGGTTGTTTTACATTACATGGATGAAATAAGCAACTGATTGGCTCTTTCACTGTTAGACCTGTTGATTTCCCGCCATGTTAGACACAGAGTTAGATGATCTGGGACTCACAGAAGCTCGGGTTACATGATTCTTTAGAAAAATAAATGTGACAATAATACATGCAGGGATTTGTGTTTGTTTTTGAAGAAATTGAGCATGCACTACTATATACAGGTCTCAATATCCATGAATGGGAAAGGTACCTTGCACTCATCTACTATGACAGAGTTGTGTGCAGCATAGACACACTGATTGGAGTTGCTTTCCCTGTGGTTCTTCATGTCATCATAAATGGATTGAGTCTTGGTCATTTCAATATCTTCATGCACTCGGTGCTGGGAGTCAATGGTATCCAGTTCGGACTTGGAAAGGTGGTAGACAATCCCAGCCCCAAAAGAGTCACCCACGACATTGACTGACGTTCTCATCCTGTCCCTGGGGACAAAGCACAGAAAAAGTTTAGGGAGGAAGCAATACGATCTGGTGGTTGAGAGGTCATGGTCTGGAACAAGAGAGACCTAGACTTGCGTTTTGGCGCTACCTCTTCCCTCTGCCTGGTCTGGGGCAAGTTACTTAGCCTTCATAAGCCTTGATTTCCAGTGTGGCAATTGGAGATAACACTCATACTTCTCTCATAGGCTTGTGACAAAATTAAATGAGATAATATATATAAAGTGCTTGGCAAAATGTCTGGTAAAGGGTAAACACCCAATAAACAATGGCACAGAAAAGCAGGAGGAGGCGGAAAGAAAGAATCAGAGAGAAATAACGTGTCCAAATCTCAGAATTCGTACCCACGCTCCAGACACGCCTAGCTGTGTCCAGCAATCCCTCCTGATTTAAACTGTTCTTTGAAGACTCTGTACTATCTCAACTTATTTTTTTTATTAGTTCTACTGGAAAGACTAACCACCTGTGAACTCTCCCATAATAGAAAAGTCATCTTTTTATAAGTATAGAAGCTAACCCAGCCTTTCCCCTGCACCTCCCACCAACAAGACACAGCTGTTGGATAAGAAACCCAGACACAATTTTCTCATTGACCAGTATGTGTTATGACTATGTGTCCGGATAAAACCAAAATACTTCTATCTTGCTCTCTCTATTAACCTAAAAAAAAATTAAATCTTCCAGGGTGTTTCTAAAAGAGGAAGTATTAAGAAAATCCTTCCTCAAATCCTGTGTTGCCAGTTCTGATTTGAAAAATATTATGGTTAGTAACTCTCCCTCTTAGAAGGTCAGTGCCGGGAAAGCTAATTAAGTTTTTAAGAGTAAGTGGTGTCTTCTCATCCATAAGTTTAGGCCACATCAGCGTGAAGAATCCTTTTGGCCATGTTTACTAGATATGCAAAGTCCTAGAGAGAAGGGTGCTGGAAAATCACACGAAAAAAGTAAAAAATATATATAAAAGGAAGGAGTTTAGGTAAAGATGCTGCCAAGACATTCTTAGTCCAGGGCATTCTAGCCTTCCGTTCAAATAATATTAGTTCCAGGCACAGTGGAAACCTTAATTTGTTCTTGGAACAAAGGTCTAAAATAAATTCTAGTTGCTACTATTGAATCTATTTCTTACTAGAGAATAATAATAATGAAACCCCACTAGGAAGAGTCTGGCTTGGCTCCCTTGCAAGGCCAGCTGTCTGCAAGGTGTAGGCCCATGGTCTTTCTGATTTCGACCAGGAAGACACTGTCCATGGGGGCGGGAAAAAACTGATCAGAGCTGGATGCCACTCTCAGGGGATCTCTCCACCTGAGAATGCTCTTGCCCTTCTTCTGATTTGGAGAGTCTGCCTCAGGGTGATTGAATCTATATGTGAATGAAGACTGGGTCTTGAGGTCATCCACAAAATCAGGCACTTAGAGTAGTTTGTGAAGAAGCCTCAGTAAAAGGGCACAAGAAGGAATGCAGGATAGCAGTTTTTATAAAGCATGGACTGTAGAGGCAGCTCGACGTGGTTCAAATGCTAGATATGCCCCCTTAACTGTTAGAAAATCCTGATCATACTGAACACTTGTGAGCCTTAGTTATCTCATCTATAAAATAGAAATAATAAAAATGTCCCATACATAAGGGTTGTGGTGAAGATTACAAAATACAACCAAGTGCTTAGCACAGTTCCAGACATTTAATAAGAACTCAAAAAATACTATTTAATGTATCATGTGTACTTTTAACATTACTATAAATTTTTGTCAAGTCAATTCAAATATATCTGTGGTAGCTCCTAGGCAGAACACCCAAATATGCCTGGTTAAGCTAATATCTCCCCCTGAAAACATTAACCCTATTTATAGAACAACAATTCTTATGGTAACACTCCCAACTAAGTAGATGTGTTATTTGTCTAACATGTAGTCGTGGTCTACTTTGGAGCTATTCAACTGTACTTTCAATCCCTTCTGGCATGTGTCCCAAGTCATGTATCCAATACCTTTAACCAATTGTCAAATTCCAAAGATCACTAAAGTCTTCAAGAGCAATGCTCTGTGTATCCATTGATCTCATGGCCCAGAAAAATCTGCCTAACTGGCAAAGGGAGAGACCAAAGGTAAGATGGTAGCAGTGGTGGTGATAGTGATAATGATAGCTAATACTTATATCACACCTACTATGTATAGGAATATACTTTATAGATACTACCTTATTTAATACTCATCACAACTGTATAAGAGGTACTATTATTCACATTTACTACACGACAAAACTGAGGCCTGGAGAGATTAGTGGTTTCCCAAAGTCCCACGTTCTAGCAAAATCATAGAATGAATCCCAGAATCCACAGTCTGCCACATGTCGCAAAGCACCCTGGAGCCAGACAACCCTAATTTTGGATCTAGCTCAGCCACTTACTGTGTGACTGTGATGACTCGCTGCTATGGTCTGAATATTTGTGCCCCCCAAAATTCATATATTGAAACCTAATCCCCAAAGTGATGGTATTTGGAGATGGAACCATTGGGAGGTGATTAGGTCATGGAGGTGGAACCCTCATGAATGGGATTAGCACCCTTACAAAAGAGGCCCAATAGAGATCCCTTGCCCCTTCCACCATATGAGATTAGAGTGAGAAGACAGCTGTCTATAAGGAGGCAGGCCCTCAACACAGAATCTGCTGGTGCCTTGATCTTGGACTTCTCAGCCTCCAGAACTGTAAGAAATAAATTTCTGTTGCTTATAAGCCACCCAGTCTATAGTATTTCGTTATAGCAGTCTGAATGGACTAAGACACTTACTCAAACAAAATTTTGCTAAAGTAGCCAAAATATCTATATTATAGAATTTAAGGAAGATAAAAATCATTTCCTGACCAACAGTTAATACTCATTATGTTATCCCCTTTTGAGGATAAACCCCACCCCCACTCATACTCCACCATGTGGACAAAAGCACAAAATACTATGCTCAAGGGTTAATGACTTTTCCAGTTTAATAAAGTCATTTCCACTCAAATGGGCGATATAAATTCACAAACTTCTGTTTCTTCAACCCTTGACTTTCTTTGACACCAAATCCTCACTCTCCTGAAGCAGCCACTGAACAAAGTTTTTGGAATAGTATTTCTGGGTGAGCTTTCCCCACATTTGTTCATTGCCATATCTCTTCCATGCCATTAGATCTCCTTAAATTTGAAAAGGAACTTGGCCAATGGAAACAGCCATTAGGACAGGAATGGATGGAAAACAGACTGTGTAGAATCAAAGCAGACTGATGTCTGATGCCAAAATCAAGATGGAAAGTGTCCTGGACCTAGGGCCAGAATGCTTTAAGCCAGGGCTTCTGATTCTCACCTGAGAAAATCACTTCTTACCTGAGAATGAAATAGGGAATGAGGGTAATCCCAACCTCACAGGAGGTTGTGAGAGTTAAAGGAAAGGAGAGCAACACTCAACATGCCAGAAATACTCATTACATGTTGCAGGAGCACATGAGCATGAAAATGTTCTTTTCTTACATCTGTTAATAGCTAATTAGAAAGAAGAGGACATCAACTCTTACACTTTCTTAGTTATTTGTTGGTGAATTTGTTCATTCAACAAAAGTTCAATGAGCATCTTACAGTGTGTGCAGGACACTATGCCAAGTTCCGGGGCAGCAACGAATAAGACAAGACCCTTCTCACACTCCCTTTTCCCCAAGAACCCACACTCTCTTTATTTGTCTATCTCCCCCACTAGAATGAGATAAATGTTCAAATAGAAATAAGTACTGTGTGCTACAGGGTTATATAGGTGGAACACTTTGTCATACATGGGTCACAGGAAATGTTTCAAGTAGAAGTGTCTTGAGTTGGGCCCTAAGCATGAATATAAGAAAATGAGATAGAGAGAGGAGAGAAATAGTATGCATGAAATCTAAAGGGTAGGAGCACTCAGAAGAGTTCAGGATGGCTACCAAGCACAGTGAGAGAGGCAGAAAGTAAGAATTGACCAAATCATCTATGGCCTTATCAGCCAAGCTTGAGTTAGAACTTTATCTGAAGTGTAAAAAGGAGCCATTAAAAGGGAAAATCACACTTGTTTCACTATGAATAATGGACCGGAAAAGGACAACACTGAAAGAGTGAAATCCAGTTAGTGAGGATATGGTGGGTACAGAGAAAGATGGATTTGAGTGAGACTTAGCAGACAGAATTACAGGACTTGAAGACTAGTTGGCTACAGGGAATAAAAGAGAAAAGAAGCCAGGATCCCTCTCGGGGGACAGCGCTGCCTTGCGGAGGGGGCGTGGTGGGTTGGGGCGGGAAAGATTCTGGCTTCATTCTGAACATGTTGTCTACGAGGCATGTGACTCAGTCCAGAGGAGATGCCCCACAGGTGGCTGGGGATAGGGACTGAGGGTCAGAAGACCCATCTGAGGGGCAGGTGGTAAATCAGGAATCATCACATGGCAATGGCAGGGAGGCCACAGAGGTGTTTGGTTCACCCTTGGAGGGAATGCAGAAGAGCAGACAATCTAGGTTGGAACACTGAGGTCAACCAACATTCAAGGAATGGGCAAAGGAATAAGAGCCTGCAAAAGTGAAAGGAAATTAGAAGGGTTTGACGTATCATAAGTAAAGGGAAGTATGCTTTTACAATAAAGGTGTGGTGAACAATGCTAGCTCTTGCCTAGGGGTCAGCTAAGATAAGGAAAAGAAATATCTTTTGGTTTTAGCAATAAAGAAGCCACTGTTGGCCTGGCATGGGCAATTCCAATACAGAAGTAGGGATAGAAGACAGCTCCCTACAGGTAAAAAATTGAACGTGAGGTGAAGAAATGGAGGCATTATGAATAATCAACTTATTCAAGAAGATTGATTGAGGCTGGGCATGGTGGTTCACGTCTGTAATCCTAACACTCTAGGAGGCCGAGGCGGGTGGATCGTTTGAGCTCAGGAGTTCCAGACCAGCCTGAGCAAGAGCGAGACCCGTCTCTACTAAAAATAGAAAGAAAT